CACCCCGTTAAAATGATCGAGCCGCTGCAGTTTTTTCCCCCCATTGTCACAAGTGAGGAAAGTGTGTGAGCGCTCCCTCTCTCCGACCTCGGCCGCCTCCATCCTCCTGCCTTTTGCCAGAGCTTTATTTTCGGGGTTCTTTGAGCCGGGAGAAGTTGAGTGGGGACGGGAGGTGCGAGGGAACATCACGGTGCCCGGTGTGCCCGGCCGGCATCTACCCGGCAGTGGGAAACCCCCCAGGCCCTCCTCACCCTCACCCCTTCACTGCTCCCAGCTTATTTCGATTAAAACATGTGCATATCCCTATTTGCAAAATCCAGGCAGCACCATTAAGTCCCATTCTACACCATCATCCATATAGATGTCTAAAAATACAATTTAAAACGCACTTATGTCCTCTCCCCGGTGACTCCATTTCCCTCCTTCCAGGGGACACTTGGTCCGTGGGAAGTGGAATTGAGGTGCAGCCGATCCGCGGGGGGACCCTGGACTGGGGGCACCCTGGCACCCCGTTCTGTGCCGAGGGGGATTCTCCCCTTTGCACCCGCGGGTTTCCTCTCACTCAGCTTCGTCCTGCTCAGCCAAGGGCTCCTGGCAGGCTCCGTGTCCCCCCTTCACAAATATTTACTTATATATTTTAATATCTTTTGTTGTTATTATTACAGCCACCCCCCGGCTTTTTGCTGGCCCCCCCTTCCTCTCCTTCCCCGGGCAATACGCTAATTCCATCTCTGCTGTCCATCACATTAATTTGTACAATGACTTCATCCGCTCCACTCCATAATGTATATTTTTAAACCGAGCAGGTTCTTTTAATGTATATTCTGGTGTCATTTCGGTGGCTGTTATTTCTCTCTGGATTGTCCCCCCGGTACAGCAGCGGCCTGTTTTTTCCTCCCCCTGTGTGTGTTTTTATTATTTTCCCCCTGGCTTAGATGTGTCAATCACTCTCTCCCTGCCATTGGTTGGAGAGTTTGCGTCAAAAAGTTGCCAGAGAGGCGCTTTCTCAGCAAAGCTCCCCGAGAGAGGTAGAGACCTTCAGCTCCAACGCACCCTGCCACTATTATTAAAAATAAAATCACTTTGACCAGCTCCAGCACCGACCAGCTCTGTATGTACCGAGCCCAGACCCCGAGCATCCCTACATCCCTTTCCTGCACCGTCCCCTCCCCTTTTTTCCCCCTATTTATTCTCCTTTTTCAAACATTTTTTCTCCCCCCCCTCCACCCCCCCTTTCCCCCGATGTCGTGGGCATGTGCATGCGGCGAGCTCTCTAACCTCCCGCTTTGTGCTTTCTCTCCCAGCTCAGCCCGAGCCCTGAATTTGGCGAGGATCCGGGAGCAGGTTTCCCCCTTCGCCCCCCAGCCCTGCCCGCGGCTCCGGCGAGGCTCGCAGGTAAGTCCGACCCGCCGGCTCCATCCTTCCTTGGGGGCATCGCCGGGCGGGCAGGAACGCAGGGAAAGGGGGAATTAAAATCATGTTTATTTTTTAAATTTTTATTATTATTAAACACGCTGCGTGCGGCGGGGGTGCGCCGTGTGGGTAGCGGGGAGCAGGCGGATCCCCACGGGAGATGCGGCGCTGCCCGGGAGAGGCCGGGCCGGGCCGGGCGGTGGCGGCCCCGGGTCGGGGACAACCGGCGGCCCCGGGTCGGTCCTCGGCGGGGACCGGGAGCTGCTGGAGGAGAGGGCGAAAGGCCAAAGCCGGGGAGCCGGGGGCTCTCCCCGCCGCCGCCCTCGCCCCCCGCGGCCGCGGCCGGGCTGTCTCCCAGGGTAGGGCGCGGAGCCGCTCTTTCCTCGGCTTCACCGCGATTTCGCTGGGTACATGATTTTTTTTTTTTTTTCCCCCCCGGCCTATTCCTCTGGCCTGTAGTTATTTCCTGAACCTCAAACCGGACTTTCAAAATCAGGAATAACCGGGGAGAAATTTCTCCCCTCTGAGAAAGGGCTCCTACCTGAGACTCCCTTCACCCTCCTCTTCTTCCTCGCGGTGTGGAGACTCAGCAAAGTAATTTTGTGAAGGTGTTTCCGAGTGCTCGCGGCCCGGGAGAACCGGGCTGGAAATTGTAGGGAGAGAAATCTTCAAGGCATTTGGGGCCGAAGCTTCACGACTCGGTGTGGGCGAAATGGATGGAGAGAACGGTATCCAGGTCGGAGAGGGGCTGGAGCTTGTTTCCACCTCCCTTCTCTTATTTTATTTTAATTTTTTAATGCCGTGGGAAAGCGCTTCCCAAAGACACCGGCCGGGAATAACGCGCCCCGGCCTCTCTCCTCTGAATCTCACCGCGCTGACAAAGAGAAAGTCGGGAAAAGTGGTTGTGCACCGGCACAAGTTTCTTTAGAACTAAAAACCTCTTTCGCTGCCAAGGTTTATTTCGATTTCGGCTGCTCAGAGAAGTTCAGGTTTATTATTTATTTATTTAGAAAAGGTGCAACTATAGTTAAAAAAAAAAAATCAAAAGCAGGGGGAGAAGCAGTTAAAAAATGCGGCCGGGTGTTGCTGGGAGGCAGAGACGGGTCAGACGGCCCCGCGGCGGAGGTGGCTGCCCGCCGAGCCCGGCTCCTTCGCTCCCGGTCCCCGAGAGGGGCCGCGGCCGCGGAGCAGCGCGGAGGTTCGGAGGGCGAAGCGCTGGGGGCCGCTCAGCACAGCCGGTGACGGGTCCATCCCCACTGCCTTCGCCTCGGGAGAAAATCCCCGTGTTGGGAAATATCACCCCGAACCGTCCGTCCAGTGGGGGGGAAAAAATTGGAGTTTACAAAAAAAAAAAAAAATTTATATAAATTAGAATTTTAAAAATGTCAGAAATTCGTTGGAGAGCGCGGGGCGGGCAGGGAACGCTGCACTCTTTTGCAAAACAAAAGGCAACAAATTCCCTTTTCTACCTTGGCTCCTTCACCCTTCCCCTCCGCGGGAGCCCCTCCGCGCTGCTCCGCGCCCCGGCCGAGCCCCCCAGGCCCCCGCGTCCCCCCGCAGCGCTGCCGAGGGCAGGGGCGCAGGCTGCGCGCCCGGGCGCGGATCGCTGCCCCGCATTAATCACCGGGGCGAGCAGCGGAGCCGGGGCCGGTGGCCCGTAATTAGGGAGCGTGTGCCGCCCGGATTATCTCGTTAGTTTATCAAGAAAACATTTATTATAATTAATTCTCGGACGGGGTAATTATTATTGAGCGAGGGCAGAGCAACTGGTAGCCGGGATCTATGCGGAGCGGGGAGGGGGGAGGAGGAGGGGGAAAGGTGACAGATTGCGGAGCGGAGCCGTTGCTCCGCGGGCTGCGGGGCGGCCCCGGGATGCGCGGCCGCGGCCGAGGGGCTCCGCGGGCGGCCGCGCCGGGCTGGCGCCTCGGCGGGATGCCGCCGAGTTTAACCGAGCGGAGCTTTGGTCTTGCCTCTTTTTTTGGAGGAGGTGTTGGAGCTTTTTTGTCCTTTTTTCTTCTTCTTCTTCTTTTGTTTGTTTGTTTTAATTTTTGTTAGCCCGTTTTTAAGCGGGCGGCAACCCCGTTGGGTTCTCCCGCTCAACTCGCGCGGTGAACGAACCGGCGGCCGAAGCTGCGAGCGGGGCTCTCCCCTCGGTATAATCGTCCCTGTTCGGCCTCCTCCGGGGGGCCCGACCCTGCTCACCCCGCGTTGGATCCGCCGCGCAGCGCGTTTGTGCGGGGCAAAGCGCAGCCCCGAGGGGAAAAGGGGAAACTCCGCACCGTGGATAAAGCAGCACCGACGGCGCGGGCGGGGGGTGCACCCGATCCTGGGGGTCCCGCAGGAGCCCCCTCGGGCAGCGCTTCGCCCTCCCGGGGCGGCGGCTCAGCCGAAACACGGAGTTTTTGGGGTGTTTGGGGAAGAAAGCTGTGCTGGAGTTCATTTCCCCGACGGCCGCTGGGGAACGGAGGGGAGGGCGAGATTTCGCCCTGAAAGATTTTAAAGAGTCTTTTCCACGGGGCAAACAGTCTTAACCCTTTTAGGACCGCCGGGCTGGACCCTTGTCGGCCATTTTTTGGCGGAGCGTGTGTTTGGGTCTCCCCTCGCCCCCCGCTGCAGAGAGCCCGGCCCCGTCGGGGCAGCGAGCGGGAAGCGGGAGAGCCCGAGCGGGGACCGGGAAAGCTGGAGCAGGAACCGGGGGAGCCGCTCGCCCGCCGGGGCCGTCCGGGGGCCGCTCACCACCGAGGTGTTTGTTTAGCTTCAGCTCCGTCATCAAGAGTTTCTTGAAAGCCTAATAAATCTGTTACTTGCCTCCAAATCTAATTACCCGGAGTACTAATTAGGTGCAAATGGCCGGTGGAAATTACTGCAGACGTGGACTGATGGCGGGAGAGCAGAAAAGTTTGGCTCTCCCCGAGCGGGCATTTGAGCTCTGAAATGCAGCAACGTCGGGGGGAAGGGGGAAAGGGGGAGTTGGGGGGGAAGGTTTGAATGTTGCCCAAACCTGGGATAATTAAAGTCCTTGCAAGAGACTAGTGGAGAGATAGGTTTCTTGAATTGTTTCTTTGTTTCTCACCCTTGGGCTTTGTTATCTGCATTATTTATTTAGCCGAGGGGTTCTTTGTGTCTGCCAATGGCCCCAATCAAGTTTTGCTTGAGACAATTAGCCGGTGCCCGGCCGGGAATCCTATGCAAATGCCCCCGGCTGCCGTACAATGCGGGCAGTTGAAGGCATGGGGGGGTTTTGTTCGGGTAGTAATTACTGGCTGGGATGTGCCCCCTCCCCTCTTCTCCCTTTTTGGGGAGAGATGCGTTTATCTAGTCAGTCTCACCCAGCTCTCCCAAATCCGGCTGGGGTCCGGCTTTCCGAGCGGGAGGATTGACGGGGGGAAGGCGGCGGGGATAAAGCAGGGGGTGTGGGGCGGGGGGGCAGCGATCTGGCCTGACTCCCCCTTCATCCCTCCATTCCTCCCTCCTCTCCCTCCTGCGCAGGCACCTGGCGGTCCCCCCCGCCCGCCGGCTCCCCCAGGCACCGCCCGGGGCAGGCAGGGCGCTCGGCCGGCTCCCCCTCGCCCGGATTTCGGCCAACTCTCCTCCCCACCACAACTTTAGCATGATGTCTTATCTTAAGCAACCACCTTATGCAGTCAATGGCCTGAGTCTCACAACCTCGGGCATGGATTTGTTGCATCCGTCCGTCGGTTATCCCGGTAAGCCACGTTTTTCTTCCCTCTCCCCTCCCTCTTTCTGCCCCACGGAGGAGAAGCCGCTGGGATTTTGGAGGCACGACATGTCCCGGGATCACGCTGGCTTGGGTGGGTGAGGGTGTGGGGTCCCTCTGTCTGCCTTCTTCTTCAACCCCAACTTTTTATCCGGGAAAGGGGCTGCAAAGAGAGGAGACCCTCTTGCTGGAGGTGGGGGACAGATGCTCCAAACCCCCATCCAGGGGAGATGAGGAGCTGGGATTCAGCGGCACAGCGGCGGCTGATACCGGGGCGCAGAGGGGAGGGAATGTGGGTGCCCCCCCGGGGAGGGGGCTGGAGGGGACACAGGGGTCTGAGAGGCCGCTGACTGACAGCCAGGGCCTCTGGCTCCGTTCGCAGCCACCCCCCGAAAGCAGCGGCGGGAGCGCACGACCTTCACCCGGGCGCAGCTGGATGTGCTGGAGGCTCTTTTCGCCAAGACCCGCTACCCCGACATCTTCATGCGGGAGGAGGTGGCCCTGAAAATCAACCTGCCCGAGTCCAGAGTGCAGGTAGGAAGCGGGGTGGCCCCGGCGAGCCCTGCCTCACCCCCCTACTCTGTGCCGGTGGGAAGGGTTTGGACTGCCCTGGGCTGGCAGGGAGATGAGGGGGCTGGTTCGGGGGATGGGGTCAGTCCTGGAGCCAAATCAAGCGCCTGTGGGATGAAGGAGGCTCAGAGGTGGGTGGGGGCGCAGGGCAGGATGGAGTGGTGGCTTGTATCCCCAGGGCTGGAGTGTGTCCCCCATTCTCCCTGTGTGTTGTGTATATCCCAAATCCCAGCTCCTGAGCCCTCCACACTCCTTCCCAGCCCCCTCAGCCTCTCTGAGGATTCACCAGCACTCTCAAGCTCTACACCAAGCCTTGCCCCAGGTGCCAAATCCCAGCCTGTCTTGCAGGCATTTTGGGAGCCCTGTGGAAGCCATAAAGGATCCCCCCCTTCCCCAGGGATCACCACATATCCAGAGCTGGGCCAGACTGGGATCCCTGCTCTCACCAGTACAGACTGAGGGCTTCCTCCCCCTTTGAAGGGACTTTGATAAGAGAGGGACTGCTTTAGTGGATCCCTCTCCTGGGGCTGGGCTGTGCCTGCCCTGCAAGCAGCCTGCAGGAGCCCCATCCAGGCAGTGTTTTGGAGGTGCTGCCGGTAGGGCAGGAGGGTCCTGTCCCCATCAGGGATCTAGAACACCCCAGCAGCAGGGGCAGGGCATCTCCAAAGCCATCCCTCTCACTTGCCTCCTTGAGATGCTTCCTGAGGCTGCGTGGTGCCCTGTCCCCGTGGAGTGTGGCGGCCTGGGATCGGGATACCCCCATATCAAACCCCATCCTTCTCCCCTCAAAACCTCCCCAGAGACAGCCCCCTTGGTCCCTGCTAAGAGAAGGTGAGATGAGCTGAGGGACCAACTCTGGCTGAGGGGATGAGAACAGAGAGCCTGTTTGGAGGGTAAATGAGACATCTTTGTCCCCCCTCCCCAACCCCTACCTCTGTTTCCCTAATTGTTCCCTCCCTTTCTGATGTTCTATTGTTTCTAATTAAGGGCTCGACTTCAATAGGCCTTCAATGGCGATTCCTGGGGGTCCCCGCCTGGCAAACAGCAAAGAGGGAATGCTGCCCCCATACACACACACTCTCCCCAAAAAGTGACCTTATTAAGGAGTTTGATTTGCCATTTCCTCTTGTTATTACTGCTAATGATCTCAGGGAGGGGGAGCCCCGGAGCTTTCCTTTGCAGCAGCCTGCAACCCTCCACTGCTGGGGAGCACTTTTAGGTCCCTCTCCCCTGACGAGTTCTCCCTGCCACCATCCCTTTCCACCCTTGGGTTTGCCTGTGCATCCCTAACACCGGCCTTTTTCTCTCTCCCTGCCTCGTGTCTGTGCCTCAAGGTGTGGTTTAAGAACCGCCGAGCCAAGTGCCGGCAGCAGCAGCAGCAGCAGCAGAACGGGGGCCAGAACAAGGTCCGGCCAGCTAAGAAGAAGAATTCACCAGCCCGGGAAGTGAGCTCGGAGAGCGGGACCAGCGGGCAGTTCACTCCCCCCTCCAGCACCTCAGTCCCCACCATTTCCAGCAGCAGCGCCCCCGTGTCCATCTGGAGCCCGGCGTCCATCTCCCCGCTCTCAGACCCCCTGTCCACCTCTTCCTCCTGCATGCAGAGATCCTATCCTATGACCTACACCCAGGCATCAGGCTACAGCCAAGGATACGCTGGATCAACCTCCTATTTCGGAGGGATGGACTGTGGATCTTACTTGACCCCTATGCACCACCAGCTCCCTGGGCCGGGGGCCACCCTGAGTCCCATGGGTGCCAACGCGGTCACCAGCCACCTCAACCAGTCTCCAGCCTCCCTCTCCACCCAGGGCTATGGAGCCTCCAGTTTGGGCTTTAACTCCACCACCGATTGCTTGGATTATAAAGACCAAACCGCCTCCTGGAAGTTAAACTTCAATGCTGACTGCTTGGATTATAAGGACCAGACATCGTCATGGAAGTTCCAGGTTTTGTGAAGAACCTTTGTGATACCGAGAGAAATCGCGACGAGAACGAACAGGCTGGGCTGAACATGCTCCAGTTTTAGTCAGGTCTTGGTTAAATTAAAGAGAAAAATAACTCCACGGACAAACAAACGAACAAAAAAACCGACAGCAACAAGAGGGGGACAGTGTTGGTGTGATCCCGTTCGGACTCATCTCCTGCTCAGACGCTCTGGAAAAGGAATAATAAAAGAGGAAAAACAGAGGAGGAAGGCCTTAAACGGACAGATCATCTAGTGAGCAGAAACCAGACAGACCCATCTGTGTTCTTTCTAGTTTTAGGCAATTGTTGGGTTTCTTTGTTTGGAAGAGGTTGGGAGATCATCCCACCTATGGGCCAGTTTTAAAAAAAAAAAGAAAAAAAAAAAGAAAAAAAAAAGAGTCTAGGTTTTTATTTCTTTTTTTTTTGTGTGTGCGTGGAAAGATGATCCTTCACCCAGAGGTTTCCAATGTGTTAGCCAACCCTTGGTTAAACTATTCGGAATGGACAACATCTCTCTTTTTCTCCCTCCCTCTTTCTTTCTCTCTCCCTCTCGCTCATCCAACTGTTTCATGCCCAACTTGCTCAAGTTGGCACCTGGAGAACTTGGTTCAGGGCTGTGTGGGTTGTGTGACTGATTGTCCTAGCTGCACTACTTTATTTAAAGATTAAGAAAAAAAAAAAAGATAATGTTCATAAGGAGTCAATATGTAGTTTTTAAGAGACAATCAGTGTGTGTCTTATATAAATGGTACATCTGTGGTTTTTAATCTGTGCTAGACTTCAAAACTGTGATCTCCTGTATTGTATGCAACTATGAACTCTGCACCAGCGGGAGTTCTGCTGTGATTTAAATAGGTTATAATTATAAGTGAAAATTCAGAGCAACTGAGTTACCTATTATCATCTTTTAAAAAAATAATAATTAAAAATATATATTTAAAAAAATAATAAAAAAAAAAAAAAAGAAAAAACACAAAAAACACGATCGCCTTTCACCCGAGGTGAACTGCACTGAAACTTTTTACAACAAACTGTCTCTGAATGAAAGAGGAAAGACCGAAAATGCCCCAACCTGAGGACATTAAACTCCTCTGGAGCTCCCGTAACTGCTGGCCACGCCGGCAGTATCCGTCAAATCCAACAGGACTTTGGGCAGTTGCTCTGACCTGGACGAATTTAAACCGAGAAATTCATTGTTGTTTATGCTTGCAGATGTTAACTGAAAAAGAAAAAAAAAAAAAAAGATATATATGCATAAACCTTTTTTTTCCTTGGATTTGGCAGATATGTATAATTATATTAAAATGGTTCTAGCACACTTGATGGTTGTCTTCCGTTTTAATCTCACCCGGCGAGTGATGGAGAAGGGGCGATGCCGGCTGCTGGTTTCCTGTCTGCAGCCAGACACGAGGGTCCAGGAGGGTCCTGCTGCTCCTGCAGGGCTGAGACAAAGGGGGTTTTGCTGGCAGATCCCCAAGGTGAAGGAAGGAAAACCAAGGAGAGATTATTTTTTATTATTATTATTTTTTTTATTTTATTTTTATTTTTAATCAAAAAAACTTCCATTACAAACAGAGCTTGGATAACGTGACCTTTCCCACCCCAGCTTTCCCAGATCTCTTTGTGGGGAGGGGGGGGATGTGTTTACTCTGTGGCTTCCTGGGAGATGGAGTCCCAAGTCGTGTCTGGGGAGAGCCCTGAACTTTCCAGGGAGGAGAATGGGGAACCTGGGAGTGATGAGGCAGGACCACTTGAGCAAGAGTGCTGGGGAAGGAGGGGGACAAGTGTCTGAGCTACAATCTCACAAGTTGAAGCCACTTAGAAGGATCAGGCCCTTCCCAAGCCTCTTGGTGGCTCTTTCTCTGTCCTTCTCCCTCTTCCTCCCTCTCTCCTTTCCACGCGCGTCGCTGGAGCCCTGAACTTGGTATTTGGATTTAACGCGGCGAGAAAACAGAGCTCTGGAAAGAGAGGAGAGAGAGACAGAGGGAAAAGTCCTCAGCACCATCAGCACCATCCCACTCCCTGTTCCCCGGGGCTTTTCACCAGCACCCTCCTGCCTGTGAGTCACTTGGGGCTGGGGCATGGGGCCACTGTCATCCCACTGCCACCCCCAGGGCTGGGGACACAGCGATGGTGAGAGGTACCCTCACGGTGCCTCTCCAACCACTCCTTGGCTTCATATCCCAGCGTCCCAAATGGGTTCTTCCCCTCCACGGGCAGCAGCAAACCCACTCCTTCCTGCACTGATATTTTTGTCCTCCACAAGCAAAGATCAGCCCTTGAAAACAAACATATTTCAGCTCTGGAACTCAGTCGAGCTTTTATGTTGCGCTTGTTAGGCAGTGATTTCCTCTTCTTTTTTTTTTTTTTTAATGGGAGGATCCGTGCAGGAGAGGTTTGGGAAGCACAAGGCAGGGATGCTGGGGCTGCCAGGGACAGCTCAGCCATGTCCATGCCGCCGGCATCTCCCAAGCAGCAGCGTGGAAAGTTTCATTTCTCCACTGATTTGCTTCCAACCAACAAAGTTTACCTCTCCCAAAAAAAAACATATTCAAGCAAAACATGCTCAAGAAAAAAAGCAAGTTTTTATTGAACTGGGGCACGGCGTCCCACCTGCCTGGAAAAGCTCTTTGTTTCCTGAGCTTTTGATTATTAAATTTTTTTAAAGCCTCTTTAAAACCTCTTTTTGTATTTTACTTCTCCCATCTTATCTTTTACTTCTCTTTCCAGAGTATTTCCCTGTCTGTCAGGGATGAGCTCCTCTGGCTAGTGCTCATTTTTATCAGAAAAAGCCAATTCATGGCAGGAATTTCTCTGAATTTCCCCTGGCTTTTTGCACTTCCCTTGTTTTCTCTACCTGTTTGTTTCTGATTTCAATTTAAATGGGCACACGCGTGGGCAAAGGGCAGAATCCCAAGGTGAGCTGGCGAACACAAAATGTTATGTAAAGTGTTTTAACTCCTTTTTCATTTTTAATGTTTTAGATCTCCCTGGTAGAATTAATTTCCTCTGAACTCAGGCTGCAGTAGGCAATCCTGGATCCAATAAAACTGGGAGGAAAAGCTGGGAAGACCACACCAGTTCAGTGTTGGAAAGCTGGATTTAGGGGCAAAGAGCTGATTAGGAGGTGATTTGACTTGAGGTGCCCTGCTCAGCCCTACAAAATACACATATAAGCAAATCCTCTACCTGTTCTGCAATTGTGATGTTCCCCACCCGAGGGGAAAACATACCCCCAAAATTAAAACAGCAGACAAACAGGAGGGAAATCTTGACCCCAACCGCGGCTGAGCTGCCTGGAATGCCAACTCCGGCATCTCTGCCTGCTCCCTGTCTGATCCCCTCCTGCTCCTGCTCTGCTTCCCTGTCTGATTCCCCCTCCATTTGCCTGTCCACCCTGCCTGCATCCTGCCCAACATACCTTTCCACTCCCTGCCTTATCCCTGCCAGCACCAGCCCACCCTGCCCAGTGTCTCCCCAGTTACCAGCCCTCACCCAGGGCAGCTCTGCTCCCACCCAGCTCAGGGACCCCCAAAACAGGGACAAGTTTTTGGGGTGACCATGTTTCCAGGAGGACCCCAGGGCTGGGGAGCACTGCCAGTTTCCAAGGAGACAGGGGAGAGCTGCTGACAAAAAGCTGGATTTAGGGACTGACAGTGGAGCTTCACCACCTGGTACTGGGTGAAGGGGCACAAGGACCCCCCCAAATCCCCACTCATACCCTGGCACTGCCTTAACCTGGGGTTTGGAGGGGTGACAGGGACAGGGTGGAAAGGTTGGGTGTGGGTTTAGGTTTGGGAGGGGCTGAGTTTGAGTCTGGGAAGGTCAGAAAGAGGGGATTGGGAAGGTTGGGCATGGATATGGGTTTGGGGGTTGATAGGACTGGTATGGGTTGGGTTTGGCTTGCGTATGGGACCCCACCCAGTTTTAGGGATTAAGAGTGGAAAGGGAAGTCCAGAAGGGGCCCCCCAACCTCTGTCCCCCATTTCCCAAGGAGCAGCAAGGCCAGGCCCCTGGAGCCATGCAGGGCTGGGGCGGGGACAAACCCCCATGAGTGCTGGGGGTGGGGGACAAACCCCCAAAGGGGAGCCTCCCTCACCCCAATCCCATGCTGGGCATTCCCATCTGGGAAGGGGCACCTCTGCATCCCGCTCCCAGCCCTGTGGGGTGCAGGGACCGAGGGGTGTGCGGGGCTCAGAGACTCCTCCACATGGATATACACGGATATACATGGATATACATGCATATACATGGATATACATCGGTAGAGTAGAACTGTGGGTATCCGTAGATGCTCAGGCCAAGGCACACGTGGATACAGCCACAAACTCGTGGATGCAGTGCACAAATACATGGATACAGTGAAGAAACACATGGATAGAGCACAAAAACACATGGGTAGGGCACACAAACACATGGATAACAGCACATGGACAAACGGATATAGCACATGGAGGGAGGGAGGGAGGAAGGAAGGAAAGAAAAGATAAAAGGGAGAGGGGAAGAGGAAAGGGGAAAGGGAAGGGAAGGGAAGGGAAGGGAAGGGAAGGGAAGGGAAGGGAAGGGAAGGGAAGGGAAGGGAAGGGAAGGGAAGGGAAGGAAGGGAAGGGAAGGGAAGGAAGGAAGAAGGGAAGGAAGGGAAGAGGGAAGGGAAGAAGGGAAAGAGGGAAAGGGAAGGAAGGGAAGGGAAGGAAGGGAAGGGAAGGGAAGGGAAGGGAAGGGAAGGGAAGGGAAGGGAAGGGAAGGGAAGGGAAGGGAAGGGAAAAGGTGAAAGAGAGAAGACGGTGAAAGAGAGAAGACAGAAAAAGACAGAAGGGAAGAAGGAATGCCATTTCCAGCTGCTGGGACTGCCTGGTATTTCCCTGCTGCTGCTGCTGCTGCTATACCTCTGTGCTGGGGCAGAGCAGAGGGAGGTGATGGTGAGGGGGAGAAGAGGTGGTGAAGAGATAGATAAATATATAAATCCCACACAAACTGTTAAAATCTGCTCTGAGAGTCAATTTTGACTTTTAGGCTCATGAACCATTAATAAAAATCTCCTTACACTCAAATGGCTCTCAAATGCTGTGATAGCGGATTACAAACTCCTAATGGAGATACTGTATGATCAAATATTCTCTAAGCAGCAAGGTCTGACATAGTGGGGGTGGCCAGGCCACCTGATTATCAGCTTATCGGCAAATACTTCTTAGTGCAGGATGTGCCAAAAAGAAAGTGTCTTCCTTGACGTGGTCCCTTCCCTGATCTTCATTTAAACAGGTTTGGGAATGCCATCACGTGCTCTGGGGACCATAAGATGCCCTGTGGAAATGATGTCCCCACTCTGCCATAAGACTTGATTTCGGTTTCTGTTCTTTCCTGTTAGAGGTGCAGAGCTGGAGGTACCAGAGGGCCTTCAGGCTCCCAGAGCGCAGAGAAAACACCTTTCTTGGTCTCAAACACCTCCTGGTGACACTCAGCCCTTGCCAGCACCAAACCACTGTATGTGATGTATAATTACTTGGTGGTTTAAATTTGGAAGGCTGAGGCAACATCACTGCAGGGAGAGCAAGAGGAAAGGAGGTGACTGTGAGACCAGAGACCTCCTTACAAGCTCCCCATGGAGCTAACTGGGAGAACTGGACTGTATTTCTGTTGTTCTCTTTTTTCAGGGAGAAGCTGGTTCTCTCCCTGCCTCCTCTCACAGTCTCACAGGTAGGAACCCTGGTATTCATTCTCATGTGGATGCTGCTAGCCAGAAGTGCCATATTTCTGCCAGAGCTGCTGATGCTTAGAAAATGCAGCATCTAACCCACCATGAGAGCCCTGTGCCCTGGGAGGGTCTGGGATCAAGATGGAGAGGGAGGAGAGGGCATGAGGGAGCAACTTCTATCAGAAAATATGGCAACTTCTATCAGAAAATATATGTAATAAGTTCTTTCTGGTCTGTAACCTTCCCAACAGGGGCTG